TTAAAGGGAGGCACATCTCACATAGGAGTGTGAAAAAAAAAAAAAAAAAAAAAAAAGAATCGAAAAACTACCTTTGTTGCTAGGTATATGCTTCAAAATACGTTTACATGATATTTGCAATTTCAAAATCGCATACCCTGGCACTTTTGGAGTAAGTGTATTGTTTCTTATGGGCACTTACTATTTTTTATTTTTTTTCTTTTTAGAGACAGAGTCTCACTTTCTTACCCTCAGTAGTGTGCCGTGGCCGTGGCGTTCACAGCAACCTCCAACTCCTAGGCTTAGGTGATCCTCTTGCCTCAGCCTCCCCAAGTAACTGGGACTACAGATGCCTGCCACAACACCTGGCTATTTTTTTGTTGCAATTTGGCTGGAGCTGAGTTTGAACCCGCCACCCTGGTATATGGGGCCAGCGCCTTACCCACTGGGCCACAGGTGCTGCCCAATTTATTTAGATGTTTAAGTTCCGATATGTTGGCTAAAAAATCACAGCCATAAGTTTATAAAACAAGTAACTTTTGCAATTTAGAAGAAGGAAGATCTCAGAATGGATTGGTTAGGATAAAATTTACGTAGATAGAGTAATAGGGATTTGAAGGCTAGGAGAAGATGTAGGGCATTGGAAAGCAGACAGTAATGAACCCAGTTTGGCTAGTAGGGGTGAGGGGAATAATGTGGGTAAAAGATTTTTCTTGGAGGCACTACGAACTGTTGAAAAGCAATCCCAGCAGTATTTAAGAAGATTAATCTGGTAGTGGTAATGAAAAATTTATTGCAGAGACATTTACCAAGAAGCTGTTCCAGTATCTAAGAGATAAGATAATTTGGATGAGGGCAATGAAACAAATTAACGGACAGATTTTTGGAATTCTTTCTAGCAGTAATAGCTAGGACTTATTGCAGATTGGATTGGTGGTGACAGTATTTGTGAGTGCTGGTGTTGGGAACATGGACAGAGGGGGCAGTCAGGATTAGAGTTGGAAAAAAGTCAGTCAGAAAAGAATGCCTTATTTTTGACCTTGATTAACATTTTTCTATATTTTCTTGATTTTTCTCTGCTACATATTTGAAATGATACAATAATTTGGTTTGAAAGCATAATCATATAGTTCAAAGTAATAAAGTAGATAGCCACAATCACTTTTGTTACTTTTACAGATGCAGTATTAGTTTGTTAGGGCTATCATAACAAAGTGCCACAGACTGGCTGGAATAAACAGCAGAAATTTCTTTTCTCACGGTTCTGGAGGTTGGAACTCTGAGATCAAGGTGTCGGCAGAGTTGATTTTTTCTTTTTTCTTTTTCTTTTTTTGTAGGGGGAGTGATAGAGCAAAATTTATGTAGGTTTGTAAGGGAAAAATCCATTTTAAAGGGGAGAATGTGGAATAATAGGACATAATGGAGCAGTACATTTGGGATAGTGCTTAATAAAGGTTTTAATAAAGGGTGGCACTTCTGGCTCAATGAGTAGGGCCCTGGCCCCATATATTGAGGATGGCAGGTTCAAACCCGGCCCCAGCCAAACTGCAACAAAAAAATAGTTGGGCATTGTGGCAGGCGCCTGTACTCCCAGCTACTCAGGAGGCTGAGGCAAGAGAATCGCCTAAGCCCAAGAGCTGGAGGCTGGTGTGAGCTGTGATGCCACACAACTCTACCGAGGGCGACAAAATAAGACTCTGCCTCTAAAATAAATAAATAAATATATATATATATTTTTTAACAGTTTATTTATTTATTTATTGCAGTTTTTGGCCGGGGCTGGGTTTGAACCCACCACCTCCAGTATATGAGGCCAGTGCCCTACTTCTTGAGCCACAAGTGCTGCCCCAATAAATAAATATTTTAATAAAATTTGGCAGGGCATGGTGGCTCACACGTGTAATCCTACCACTCTGGTGGGAGGCTGAGATGGGCAGATTGCTTGAACTCACGAATTCGAGACCAGCCTGAGCCAGAATGAGACCCCATTTCTAAAAATAGCCAGGCTGTTGTGGTGGGCTCCTGTAGTCCCAGCTACTAGGGAGGCTGAGGCAAGAGAATCTCTTGAGCCCAAGAGTTTGGGGTTGTTATGAGCTATGATACCACGGCATTCTACCAAGGGCAACAAAGTGAGACTCTGCCTCAAAAGATTTTTTTTTTTTTAGAGACAGAGTCTCACTTTGTCACCCTTAGTAGAGTATGTGGTATCACAGCTCACAGCAACCTCCAGCTCTTGGGCTTAGGTGATTCTCTTGCCTCAGCCACTTGTTGCAGTTTGGCTGGGACCAGGTTCGAACCCACCAACCTCGGTATATGGGGCTGGTGCCTTACTCACTGAGCCACAGGTGCTGCCCTGCCTCAAAAGATTTTAATAAAATTTCATGGCTTAGCGCTTATAGCATATCTATGGTTACGGCACCAGCCACATGTACTGAGTCTGGCAGATTCAAGCCCAGCAGGGGCAGCTAAACAACAATGATAGCTGTAACAAGAAAATAGCTGGGCATTGTGGCAGTCGCCTATAGTCCCAGCTACTTGGGACGCTGAGATAAGAGAATCACTTAAGCCCAAGAGTTGGAGGCTACTGGTGAGTTGTGATGCCACTGCACTCTATCCAGGGTGACATAAAAAAAAAAGATTTTAATAAAATTTCAGAGTTCTTTTTTTTCCTAGGGCCTCTCTCCTTGGCTCACACTGACTCCCTGTAAGAAAAGGCTTTTATAGGGAGAATTTAATTCTATTATGGTTAAAATTGAAGTGGCAGTCATTACTCCTATGGTGAAAATTTAAGACAGCACAGGCACAGTAGTTTGTTAATATCTTGTATTTGTTTCATTAGGAGATCATTTTATGGAGAAAAGCTCCTGAAAAACTAAGGAAACAGAGAACAAACTTTCACCAGCGATTTGAATCTCCAGAATCACAAGCATCTGCTGAACAGCCTGAAATGTGAACTGAATAGGAGAAACAAAGAAAAACAAAAACCTCCTGTAACCGTTGAGATTAAGTTCAGCAGGTTAAAGATGGTTGCAGCACATGGCGGGGGTGGGGAAAGGCCAAAACTCCATATATATTAGTCTTCCTTTATGTTACAGTGCTGCATTTATTTTATGATACAACAAAATGTTTTTCATGTATATACATTTTAAAAAGTGCTTTCTTTGAAACACTGGAACTTTCTTAAGCTGCCTTTTTTTTTTTTTACTGCACACTTTGATTATAAGCACTCAGATATGCATCAGCATAAATATTAAAGATTTTCATGTGAGTAGGCTGGTATTTATAATTTTGCTTTTTTTCTGCACAATGTTAATTAGAAATCCTTTTCTTCTCCCTTTTTATGCTAATGATTATCTCTTATCCTCTACATGCAAAAATTTAAATATTTTATGTTCAAATGGAATCAGAATATCTGAGTAACCCTTAACGTCCTGCAAATATTTAAAACATGGGATCTCAATATTTTGTTTTTACACATGCTTAAAAATGTAATACAGAATGTCTCACTGTGGGTGCTTCTGAGTACCATTCCATGGCTTCCTGAATTTTACTCTTTCTGAAGCCTTCTGTGTCATGATAATTAAATTTTTCCAGGTGGGAGGGGAAAAATAAATAAGTAAATTTTCCCCCAAAGGATTATGTGGCATGCCATTGTGTCTGCCTGTTTATTTATTTATTTTTGCCATATTAAGTCGCTGTTTTGCTGCTACTTTACAGTAGTACCACTGTATGTTTTCTGCAATGGGGAGTTGACTTATGTTGGCATTTTGAATTTGTTAAAATTATTTAATTTTTCCAAAAATACTTTGAAGCACACATATATATTTCAACTTAAGGAATCTTTTTGCCATGGGAAAGCAAATATTTTCTTAACTTCACAAATGTATTCTTTTCAGGAGAAAATTTGGGGCCAGGGGACTCAGGAGAACCTGTAAAGCATGTAGTTATTAGATTTGGACAACTTCATGTTTATGAAACTGAAACTTTGGCTAATTCAAACTCACATTTAAACTTCATCCAGTCTTTTAATTTTTTAAACACTAAATCCGAGTCATATGTTTAAAAGTCTCTAAAAAAGGTTGCAGTCATCTGTTTGTGTGCATGGAGTCTGATCTCAGATACACTAAATGTGGTGTATAGGAAACAAAATGAAGCCTGCTGTATGGAAACTACTTTAACTTATGGTTCATTGGTTTTTGTACCAATATTTTTTATACACTTCAGTACAAGTCTTGTCGGTTAATCTTACTTTATGAGTAAGCTAAATAATCCAAATTACATTTCTTTAATCCTATTTTACTACTATGGCACTTTGATAAAGTGGTCGGTAACCAACTTCTTTACTGGCAAAACTTCTATGTACCATGTGCTGGAGCATCTACTTTAATGTGGATGTCTATGAATGGTAATGTTTTCCTTCATGTAAGTGCCTATTCAGAGATGCAAAATTTTAAAATGCCAAATATTTTCATGGTCACTTGCATGTAGTAATCTAGAAAATATTCAAAGAGATTTTGAAAACCAAGTGTATTTAACCAGCCTCAAACTGTGCAACACGATGTATAATAAAGAATTTGAAACAGACACTGAGCTTGCTATTTTAATGATTAAGATAGCTCTATTCTCAAATCTCTTATTGTTAGACTTACTGATGAGGATAGAATTGCTCAATAGTTTCGGGAGCTATAATTTTGATGAGTCTCTGAATGTGGGAGGCTGAGGCAAGAGAATCGCTTAAGCCCAAGAGTTGGAGGTTGCTGGGAGCTATGACGCCATAGCACTCTACCAAGGGTGACGTGGTGAAACTGTCTGAAAAAAAACAAAACTATTTTCAGCATAAAGCATTTGGTTCTTGAAATATTTTAACTGCCTAAAAGCCCAGCTTCTCAGAACTCAATCTGTAATAAATTCCCTCACTAGGAATAACCAAGAAAGGTTGTAAGAGAAAAGACTGATTTAATTACATACCTATATGAATTCAAAAACATGACTTGCAGGGGTGGGTAGAATTTGTAGTGTATATACCATTTTAATAGGTGAAGTGGTGGGAGAGAAAGGGTATTTACAGGAAAACATTTATGACTTTTAGGAAAGATAAATGAGCCTTTGGGAGAATAGATGGGAGACATAATTGTTATTTAGGTGTGGTGTCACTAACTCTTGGGATAAAAGTCAACCACATTCAGAGACTACAGGGGCCTGCGACAATGCCTCGGCTATTTTTTTGTTGTAATTGTTGTTTAGCTGGCCTGGGCTGGGTTTGAACCTGCCAGCCTCAGAGTATGTAACTGGCACCCTAACCACTGTGTTATGGGCGATTAGTCCTGAAAATAGTTTTTATGTCTCTGAAGTATATTCTGAACCTCCTTCAATATGGACCCCAGTAGTTGGAATATTCAATTCTAGTAAGTTTCAACTCAGATAAAAGCATAATAGTGAAAATGACCCTTAGATATAATACCTAAAGATCTCTTTTCTTTAGGTTTGGGGTCTTTTATTTCAGATTAATATGAGGGCACAAACAGTGAGGTACATTGTTTGCATAGGGTTGGGGTCTTTTATGGGCATAATTCTCTTCATGTCTCTCCCCTATCTAAAATTCTTTTCATGACCAAATTACTTCCAGGATAAGGGTCAAATTCCACCTTGCAAAATTCACCTTCAGCTCTAGTTATACCAAACTTTTTGGAGACTGCCCAATCTCCTGCCTGCACTCCAGTTGATTTCTATTAAGGCTGTCCTGGCAAATCTTGCCTGACACCATCTCTATGTCCAAGTCAGAGTTATCCCTTTGCTGTACTGCCAAGGCATGCTCTGCATACCTCGGAGACTATACTTAATATACTTCTAAAAGATAATTAAATTGGGCTTGGTGCCCTTAGCACAGTGGTCATGGTGCTCTCCACATACATCTGAGGCTGGCGGGTTCAAACCTAGCCCTAGGTGAGCTGAACAACAATGACAACTCAAAGATTAAATAGCTGGGCGTTGTGGCAGGCGCTTGTAGTCCCAGCTACTTGGGAGGCTGAGGCAAGAGAATCACGTAAGCTCGGGAGTTTGAGGTTGCTGTGAGCTGTGACACCACAGCACTCTACCCAGGGCAACAGCTTGAGACTGTCAAAAAACAAACAAAAAAACAAAGAAGATAACTGTTTACTTCTATAGGTTTTAAGCCTTTTTTTTTTTTGGAGATAAAATTTCACTTTGTCACCCTAGGTAGAGTGCTGTGACATCACAGCACTCAGCAACCTCAAGCTCTTGGGCTCAAGTGATGCTCTTGCCTCAGCCTCCCAAGTAGCTGGGACTACCAGTGCCCACCACAACACCCAGCTAGTTTCTATATATTTTTTTGTTTTTAAGACAGAGTCTTAACTATGTTGCCCTCAGTAGAGTGCTATAGCGTCACAGCTCACAGTAACCTCAAACTCTTGGGCTAAAGGGATTCTCTTGCCTCAGTGTCCCAAGAAATTGGGACTATAGGCGCCCGCCACAACACCTGGCTATTTTTTTGTTGCAGTTGTCATTGTTTAGCAGGCCCAGGCCAGGTTCAAACCTGCCTGCCTTGGTGTATATGGCTGGCACCCTAATCACTGAGCTATGGGCGCTGAGCCTAGTTTTTATATTTTTAGTAGAGATGGGGTCTTGCTCTTGCTCAGGCTAGTCTTGAACTCCTGAGCTCAAGCAATCCACCCACCGTGGCCTCTTGGAGTGCTAGGATTATAGGCATAAGCCACCACAGCACCTGCCTGATTTAAAGGCTCTTGAGGCCTCAGGCTATTTTGATATGCTCTGCTTCTCACACTCAATTATTAAATAAATGGATGAACCTTATTTTCCTAGTGATTATAAAATTAAAGGTGCCCTCTTTTAGAAAGAATATAGATCGAAATGTAATAAAATGGATAAGAACTGTTATGCACCACAGCATTAGAATAAAAGAAATGGACCAGGATTTTTTTTTTTTTTTGGTAGAGACAGAGTCTCACTCTATCGCTCTCGGTAGAGTGCTATGGCGTCACAGTTCACAGCAACCTCCAACTCCTGGGCTTAGGTAATTCCCTTGCCTCAGCCTCCTGAGTAGCTGGGACTACAGGTGCCCACCACAACGCCCAACTATTTTTTGTTGTTGTTGCAGTTTGGCCGGGGCCGGGTTATGAACCTGTCACCCTCAGGTATATGGGGCTGGCGCCCTACTCACTGGAGCTACAGACACCACCCTGGACCAGGATTTTTAAGAGTGCTTTTCAGGCCCACAAGTGAAAGCAAGTTAGAGTAGGGCCATGTGAGTGAGAGCTATACAAATGCATCTGAAAGGAGCCCCCACTTTAGGTTTTGGGAAACTAATCAGGTGATCTTTAAGATCCTTTTCTGCTCTAAGAAATTGTTCAAATGCCTAACTCCATTTATTCTGAGATAAGAAGCAACAGGTGCCACAACCACTTGCCTGCATCCTTCTTCTCTACTATGATATAATCAATAGGTTTTCCAGCCCCCAATAATTATTAGAATCTCCTATCCATTCTCTTTTTTTTAAAGACCATTGTAGCTGCAGACCTCCTCTCCATTTGCCAGTTCTAACCTCCAGTATGACACAGGGAGCAACTCTGGACCCAAATAAACAAAATATTACTCCTTTTCCACTCCCTCATCCTTCTTTGTTCCCTCTTCACTCCCTCATTCTCAGGTACCTCTTCTCTGTTCCCTCTTTTGTCAGACCCTCCTGTCCATTGCCTAATTCCATCTGCTTTCCCAGGGTCAACAATTAGGCTCAGCTGGGCCTGCAGTTACTGGTTCTGCTGTCTGGAGACGTCAGGTGCTCCCAGGTCTCCTGCAGCTCCTGGCAGGCCATCCTGGATGCCGTTGTGCCCTGAGCTTTCTCTTGCTGCAGCTGCTCCTTGGCCTGGGTCTGCAGCAGGACCTCCCTGTGCAGTAACTCCTCCAAGATCAGCTGCTGAGAGGCTACATATGAGGCAGGAAGATCAGATATGATCTTGCTCCTGCTGCAGACTCTGCCTCTTCACTTTTCAGCTACACCTGCACACGAGACAGGTGGTGGCCTGCTTTCAGACTCTAAGCCCATAAATAGGGTAGAGGGAGTGTTGGGGTTCAGGCATCCTTCCTCTCTACCATGATATCAATAAATACATTTCCCAGCCCCCCAAATTATTAGAACCTCCTGCCCATTTTTTCAAGGTCATCATAGTTCCAGACTTCCCCAGATGTATGTATTCTCTCTTTTTTTTTTTCTGAGACAGGAGCCTCAAGCTGTCCCCCTGGGTAGAGTGCCATGGCATCTCAGCTCACAGCAACCTCCAACTCCTGGGCTCAAGCGAGTCTCCTGCCTCAGCCTCCCAAGTAGCTGGGACTACAGGTGCCCGCCACAACGTCCGGCTATTTCTTGGTTGCAGCTGTCGTTGTTTGGCAGGCCCGGGCTGGATTCGAACCTGTCAGCTCAGGTGTATATGGCTGGCGCCTTATCCACTGGAGCCACAAGTGCTATCCTACAATAGTTTTCTTTTCTTTTTTTTTGAGACAGAGCCTCAAGCTGCCCCCCTGGGTAGAGTGCTGTGGCATCACAGCTCACAGCAACCTCCAACTCCTGGGCTCAAGCGAGTCTCCTGCCTCAGCCTCCCAAGTAGCT